AATGTTAAATTGATTACTTTTATAAATCAACAAATTTTGACCAATATTCTATCATAATTTAAAAAACTATTGGATTTACACAAGTTTTATATCACGACAGGAACTTTCTTGTGAGGAAATGCTTCAAAATTGTCGATATTTTATTATTACAACTTACTGAAGGCGTAAAATAGTTAAAAAGGGTATGAACAAGTCTTAAACTTAGAACACATTACACTGGAAAAAATAATTTCTTCGTAAGAGAAAAATTAAAAAACAAATAAATAAATTTTGAACAGAAAATTTTGCAAAATGACTTTTTTCAAATAACTATTTTTTTATGTTGGAAAAAAATGTCATTTGACTTATACCGGAGGTGGCGGTACAAGTCACCTATTTAGCCGAATACTTTACAATTTTTGGATGAGCACAAACCATTACCGTAATAGATTTTTTTTTTCACAAGAAGAATCCTAAAAATGAATCCTTTTTTTTTCTCAATTACCGTCCAATTGTACAGCCTTTTTTTCTCAATTACTGTCCAGTTGGGCAGTAACTCACACGGTACGCATTCATTTATTTTAGCGAAACAATAAAAATATCGAATGAGTTAATGGTGAATAGTTTTTAATTTGCATGTTTAGACGATAGAACCTCAATTGGAACAAATTTAACTACCGTTTCGAATACACTATCGTGCCCAATCTCACAATATGAATGGAGAGGGTTAGTTACCATTTTATATAATTTTCTATGAAAACGAATTGTTACGAGATAAATCGAACTTTGGCCACATCGTATACTTGCAAACTTAACATAATTTTTACCATCATCAATTTCGTCAAAATAAAAAAGTGGATAAAACCAGGCTCTGTAATGAACGTTTACGCGTTCTAATATTAAAATTTATGCAAATTTTTTTGCGTTTACTTTCTACAACTCCTGTTTGCGTCGACATTCGTTTGTGTCAATGCATAGGGGTCATTAGACGGAAACGGTACAACTTTTCTTTTGTAGGCCTGTCGTTTGTTACGTAAAAAAATTACAACCGCGTGAGAAGATAGTATCTGAAATCTAGTTATCGTATTTATTATTGTCCACTCAGCCGTTTTTCTGAAAGATACGATCAAATTTGTACAAAAGAAATCTGTCGACTTTATTATCGTCAATTTTTGTTGGTCAAAGATAGCACAATGCTTTTTTAATATAAACCAGTCACAAAAATTAAAGCATAAAAATAGTTCATTTTTAGTTGATTTTCAAAAGGCTGTAACTTGCCCAAAAATGGTCGTAGAGCAATAAAAAAGCAGATTAAAGCTTGAAGTCTCTGGTTTCAGAATTTGAAAGTGATAATTTTTATCGTTAAGAAATCGGAAGAAATCCGGCAGGAAAACATTTTTCAAAATTTTTGCTTCCACGGGAATCAATAGAAATGTATTTTGGCAATCTCGTCTTACAGCTGTTCTAGTTTGATTCATCCTCTTTTATTTCAGCACTTCAAAAGCTTTGTAAAGCAAAAAACCATATTTTTTTATTTGATCATTAATTACTTCGGAACTAATGAAATGAACGTATACGATGCAAGAAATTTGATTAAAAGAAAGGGTAAAAAATCGCGTATTTAAGGATTTTCGATAAACTTTACAATAATGAACAGACTAATGATATTTTTGTTTTTTTATAACCTCAAACTATCCCAAGAAACCTTCAAGATTTCAAAACATTTAATTTTTTTAAATTGAATATTTTTTTGCAAAGATCCATTTTTCTTTCACCAAAATGTTAAATATCAAAAGAAAAATTTGTTTATTATTAAAAAATGGTCCTATTTTTTTTTGACCGCCGTTTCCACCTTGTTTTAAATGTCAATTTAAAAATTAAATAGTTGTATACAATCAGTGGGTATTTTAATTAGAAAAAGGTACTTTTTTTAGCTTTAAAAAAAAATTGCCAAACTAAACGAGCTGACAGGAGGAATTGCGAAAAAAACATTTATTGAAGCCCTTTTGAAAACGAAGCAAAAAATTTGAAAAATTTGTTCTGTCGGATTTCTTATAATTTCTTAAAGTTGATTAACGACAAAGATTTTTGACTTTCAAATCCTGAAACTAGAAATTTTAAGCTTCAATCTGTTTTTTCATTGTTCTACGATCATATTTCGCTAAATCAATCTTTTGAAAAATCACAATTTACAATTTTTTTTTATTCTTTAATTTTTGTGACTAGTGCATAATATAAGGTAACTTAGCTTTGCCCAACACATTCGTTGACACCCACAACTTATACGCCGTGCCATTCCCTCATAATATTAATTTTATCATTTACCACATAGTTAAAACTAGTGAAGCATAAACGTACATTTATTTACTGTTAATTGATCAATATTGACCGTGGCTCTGGTATTAAGGCCTATTTATACGTGATATACAGTGAAGTACCATTAAATTAGTGTCAAGATGAACCCTTTCACTTGTTTAAAATTCAACGGAAGTAAAGTAGACTCCGGTTTTAAAAATAAACGGTACTTAAATTTATGCCATGTTCATATTTCACCAGGATTGCATAACAATACAACAGAATAAGTTTGTTATTAGAGTTATAATTTTCCTGGAGGAATTATTTTTCTTTGTACATTCGGAAAATAAACATGTTATCATTGTATTAAGATTAACTCGTATATTCTGGTCCACGTTTATTACTGAACTTAAGAAATAAGTACGAGTATTTTCAAAGAAATTATTATTTGGGATGTTAAAAGTACGAAAAATTTAAATCAATCACTCAGGGATTGGTTGTTATGAAATTATTTTTGTCTCAAAAATATCGCACTGAAAAAACAAACAAAAAATATATAGGTCACTATATCATTACACTATAAGATAATTTACGTTACGAATATCGTTGGTTTTAAAATTTTTATTTATTTATCTGATTTTTTCATCGGGAAAACTTAATTTCATAAAATTCTTGACTGATTCTTTTGGTACGAAGGTTGGTTTGATCCAGTGGCGGCTCGTAACATTGTGAATTGGTGAGGCCCGTGGCCTTTTTACTAGGTGGGCAAGAAAACAAAAAGCGTCATTTTTAAATTTTCAAGGTCAAATCACTAAATGCATCTGGAAATTTTTAATTGCATTTACAATATTATAGATTTTCATTCAGATTTTATAGAAAATAATACGCAACTATTTGGTTATTTTATTAACCCGCTCTCAAATAATAAATAGGAATAAATTTCCACGGCATTTTTTATTATGGAGATCTTCGCCAATAGCCCTACAATAACCGTAAATTAACAAATGACATTATTAATAATAATATCAGAACTTTAAAAATTGTATTTACAATAAAATTAAGTAAGAAAAAAAAAGAAAGAAGAAAGAAAAAAGAAATTAAAAAAATTGTTCCAACTTGGTTTAAGAATATTAAAAAATATGAAAAAATATAAAAACAAATTTTCATGAGGTACTTAGCCAGCCAACTTATTTATTTAAATATATAACAACGCCGCCAGCTTTTAGTTTGCCTCCACTTTAACAAAATATTTTAAAAACATGTATGTGTTTATTCGTCCGTATTTTAAATTAGCAAATTTACTTCATAAAATTGGGCATCGACACTAAGACTTTGAAATAGTTATTTTTCTATCGCCATCACTGATAAGTTGTTTAAGCCCTCTTGTGTCATCGTACTACTTAAGTAGGTACCTAAGTCTTATTAATGCGCTTAAGATACAAAAAGTTTCTTTCTACCGAGACATTTGTTGCAGGAATTGTTAATACTAGGCAAAACAATTTGTATGTTTCCGAAAATATCATTTTAAATTCCTTGTATAATAATTGTATATTTTAGTAATAAACATTCATTTTGGGAAATTTGTTTGTATATTCGGAAAATTTTGAGAAATCTATTAAAGCAAGAAAATTTTAATCATGTAAATTCCCAAAACGAGTTAACTTAATTAAAGGGAAATATTTTTCGAAAATATTTCTAATTTGTCGCAAATTTTGCCCCGTTTATTTAGTATATTTTTCGCACAATTAAAAATGTTTTTAAATTTCTCTTCGTTTCTTAATTCAGAAATTCTTTGACTAGCGATTTTAATTTGTTTAGAGCAGTAATTTACGTTATTACGTCTTGAAAAAGGCGTTTCAAGAGATAAAACAATATCATAAGATCGGTTCATTATTACCTACCTATGTAGGTATATTGACAATATAATAGGTATCATTAAATTACGTTAAATTTAGTCTTACTTTGTTTTATTGTAAGAAAGTTCTTAAAGCTTTTGTACTATCCCTCACATCAGACACTACCCGCGTACTATGCGGTGCGTACATTAACCGCGAAATGAAACTTCAAGTACAAGCCATTTGGTGGTGAGATATTCAATATTCAAACAATTCGTTTATACCGTTATTTTGATTTTTGATAAATGTAATAGGTAATTGGAAAATAGTTTACCTAACTGTTTATTTAGGTTAATAGAATAGTAGGTATTAAAATACCCAAATGATAGTTTCAGACAAAGTTAAGTACACGATAGCTAACACGAAGAATCCATTATAATGGTAAGTAACTAACCGAAAGTGGATTTAAATTTTCAATGAATTAAACTTAAACAAAATATCTATAACTAGGTAAAAACGATTCCAAAAGTTGCCGGGAAAGTATATTTGTTAAAAATATTACTTATTCTGTAATCAGTTATGTATTATTATTTAGAATTTCGTAATCCCCTAATGATGGAAGCCAATTTTGAATGCAAAGTAAAATGTAAAATAAACAATGCCATTGTTATATTGTTATCTGCATTGTTTGTATTTTTTTTTTCATCTTTATGTTATTACTCTTACTGTATACGCTCTAAAGCAAATCCCACGTTTTCACTTTTGTTTAAAAAATACTTATATTTCCTACTACTGCAATGCTTGGTTAAATTAATTCTAACTCTACCCATGATCTAACACCTCGTTTAACACTAAAAATTATTTATTACACTAAAAATTAATGTTACTAACCTTTAGCAGCTGCCTGCTTCTTATCTTTCGATGAAAAGATTGTTCGGCTCGCTTTGGATTCGTTAGACGAAGACGGATGTAAAGATGCATTTTTTTTATCTGCAAAAAAAATATTTGATAATTTCAATTCTAAAAATATGTAATAGAATTGTACTGTTCTTTAAGTACGTATATGTTAAAGTTAAAAATGTTAAAATGTTGGTTCAGATAATGCACCATTGTGAGATGATGAAATCTTTGAAATTATGACAATTATAATAATAACTTGCAGTTTAAGATTTCTTCCGATATTAAAGATATTAAAATAAATTAGTAAATAACTGTCCAGTAGTACATTTTATTAAAAATTCCTCCCAAAGTAGTCAGCTTTTGTAATATTGTAAAGTGTATTCAATTCAATTTGAAGTGTTTAATTCGAAACAAAACTTAAGCTACAACACGTCTTGTGGGTATGCAACCAGAGTTACACAATAGTAGACATTTTAATTTGCTAATTATTTGTTTACCAGGCGTCTTGTAAAAGTAATACTCCATTTTAAAAATATGGTTTATTTAAATTTTTTTATTATAATCAAGTTCGAAATATTTTAATAGACGGTGGTTATTTTTGTGATATACACTCTATTTGCAAACTGTAATTGATATTTTGACCACTCAAGACCAACGTTGCAAAGAATTATTGTAGAATTGTATTATTTTATAAAGGGTCCATAAACATAAAAATGTAGAAGATCAAGGCCGGATTTAGGGGGGGGGGGCTATGGGTGATATAGCCCCGGGCTTCGGCAAGATCTGGCAAAATGAAAGCAAAAAGTGTTTAAGTTTTGAAATTTATTTTATATCGGTAAGTCGCTAATTGCGTGAACGTTATTTTTTATTTTATTAGAATAAATTTTTAAAGATTCAGAATTTGTAACATTGTGGTATATTATGAATTAATATTTATAACAGTTTATGATTTTCTGTTCCAATTAATGATACTACGACAATCTAATAGTACCTACGAACAAAACAAATACGTTTTTAAAACTGTTAATTTAAGGAAATAAAATTATTGTCCCAAACAAAATTACAAAATTACTGGTAACGTGGCTTGTAATCATTTCTGAAGGCTCTATACTGTTCATACATGTATGTCCCTAGATTTTCTTATGCACAGACAGCGAACCTCGGTCTAAAAGACCGTGACATACATCCAAAGGATAACATAAAATCCTTTCTGGTCTTAATAGGCAGTAGTAAGCCAAACAAGATTTGGGTATTAAGATTAACATAAGTCTCTATCTGATATTTCCACTTTAAAATTTCCTTGAAAATGTAAGTGAGGAATATAAAGTCGATAACAACACTAAACATCTCATTTTCTTCTTCTATCTCCCACTGTCTCAATTAATTCTGTGGGGAAGGTTACTGTCCACCAAAATAAACTCACATAAATTAATCCAACAAATAATTTATTTAAAAACTAAGAATTAAAGAAAAACGTGATGTATAAAAAGAATTCGATTATATCAGATAACGAACTGCACTCTGCAACAGCGCGACGAGAAGAGCACTGCATCACTTGGCTATATCACATTTACATCCCAAGAATTACCTGCCCAAGTAAACATGTCAGTATTTTGGTCATTATTCTCGGATTAGGGATATTAATGGATTGTGACGATTTAATTACACCGACAAATACCCTTAATGCAGGAAACTATACTTAAATGTACAATGGTGATTTCACTTTAAATACAGAAACTGCAGGACTAGATTCATTACTAAAAAATAAGTAGAGTTTGCCCTATAAACTTTTTTTCTGTAGGACTCGGTATTCGAGATACAAGGTGTTAAAATATATATAAAAAATGTATATTTCCTGCTATATCTTCATAATGCGCTGACGGAATTGAATGAAATTTACTACAGCGTATTCACTTAATTGACCTTTTATTGAATCTAATATTAACCTTGTGACTTTATACAGTGGCGTACTACTGGAGGTGCCGCCTCATTTTTCTAAGAAAAGAATACGTCACTGGTGGTTTTTCGTACCAATAATTTTATTTTTGGAAAAATATCAAAACTAAATAATAAAGTAACATTAGCAAATAGGTCGAGTAAGTAATTAAGTAACGAGTCCTACAACAATTGTCCAAAACGAAGTCGTTCCGCATCGACACACTTTTGACATCTTCTAATCTATTTATAGAGGATCTTATCATAACATGATTTTCCCTGAGATTGCAATTTTCCTCTATTCTTTGCCATAATTCGTCTCGCATTCAAAGGCCCAACAACCAACAAGGACTGCAGCATCAGAAATAAATAAACAAAGCTAGTTATAATACTAAAACCAGATCATCCCTGTATCTCGAATAGCATGTCCTCCAGGAAAATAGTTTATAGAGCAATCTACTTATTATTTGGTAATAAATCTATTCCTATTTTTGTATTTAAAGTGAAATCACCCTGTATATATTATTTGAAATGATTTAAATAAAAATATTTACATCCAGATACTAAACTTATCAATAATTGGAGTTCTTCATTTATTTTAGCTTACGCCGAAATATTACTTCATTATTTACGTGAAAACAGTGACGCACTGTCAACTGGGGTGTTGTTGGACAGCAGGGGTGAAGGTGGACAAACGGTAGTGTTAAAAAAAATCCCTATCCGGTAGGTGGGGGGTTAACGTTTAACTGATTTGGCGGCAGAAATCATGAAACAACATGTTCTGTTTCCCTCGGAACGCGGTGTGGGTATGAAGGACGGAAGTAAGTGAGTGTGATTTACGAAAGTATTGTATGAAAATTTGACATTTTCTTAAACTTGTTTTTATAACTACTGTAGCTACGATGCGGCTGGCGGAATATCAACCTTTTTGTCTGAGGAGTTGCACTATTGTATGAGTATTAGTCATGGAAATTTTCAATTATATTTTTGTAAAAATAGTGGAATGGGTGGGATTTTTTTTTACACTGTTGTGTTATTCCAGGGTGAAGTTGGACACCCAATAAATGCCCCAAAAATATCGAAAACCGCTTGGCATAAAGCCGAATTGTAATTACCCCACCAGAAATTTGGAAATGGCAGTAAAATAAGTGAAAAATAAGATTTTAAGTGTCAGGGTTGCAGGTGAAAAGTGGAATGTTCCAAAATCAACACTTCACAACCACCTTAAAGGAAGTTTTAAATTAGTTTTTAAATAATGTTAAATATTTTTTGTTATATTTTTATAAGAAATTTAAATTTTATTAATGATAGTTTTAATAAAGGTTTAATACACATTTTTCAAACTTTATAAATTTATTTTAGAGTAAAACTGAAAGATTTCCTTTTTAAAAAACAATTTTTAGGTCCAACTCGGGCAATAGACCGTTCCGGAGTTGGATTTCCATTGATTTAAAGCTATGTCCAACTTCACCCCTTTCTGCCGAGTGAAGTTGGACAACCGTTATCAAAAAATATATAAAAAACTAAAAACAAAATACAAATTTTAATTATGCCACGCAATATAATACACCTTGGCCTACCTAGATGATTTTCTTCAGAATTTTTGACATATCAGACCCAGAAATAGAGTAAAATAATCGAAAAATTCGTCCAACATCACCCCCGTTGACGGTACCAGGAAACTGGTATCACCACAGTTCATAATATAAAGGCTGAAACATAATTAGCGTTATACTCCCATTTTCTAATTCCCACTTTGCCCTCACGACTACTTATCGACACCCCCTCGTAAGAGCATAATTTACTGTAAATTCAAATCCACTTCCTGCTGCAAAGTAGTGACAGCATAGCAGCATAGTTATATTTGAACTCTCCGTTCTAAGCCAGCTGTACAGGTGATTTCCACCTGTAGTACCGTAAACCTGTTTATCATCTTGTCTCTCGAGGAGATCGCATCTGGTACAGGTCGTTAGTCGGCCTTATTAAATATACAGAATCTCTATATGGGAATGAATGGGATGAAAGGAAGGATGGCGTGTATTTCCCTACCGTATTTAAATTGTTCGTAACGAATGATTGACAAATCGTGTTGTGCCTTAACCCGAGCTGTTTTACGTGCAAAATAATTTAAGACTGTAGTTATTCTAAATAGGTCGTATAATTTTAGCACTTTAGTCTGCACATATCTCTTCTAAAATACTTAGAATACGAAATTTGCGCTGTTACATTTAAACCTGTTCAATTTACGGATTTTTGATCTAATAAAAAATGGTACATGTATTTCTAATACCTTTTTCCATGTCGCAATAAACTGATCAATTTATTAGTGAAATTTAAAGCTATCAATTGAAATAGAAATCAATTATGATAACTATAAACCACGAAACTTTTCAACATAACATATGCCATAACTTACCTAACTGCAGTAACACGCACGTTTTAAGTTAAAGTAAAATACATTATACAGGGTGATTCAGTCATAGTCATTAATTTTAAATGAGTAGAATACGAATACGTGATTAAAAAAATTTTAAAATGCATGCTGAAAAAAAAATTAAAATCATTATTTAAACTCCTTTTCGAACCGCTCCTGACTGCAGACTCACATATATTTATCGAGAGTGAATTTCCACCTACTATAATATTCGGTCGTTAATCTAGATTTTAATGCGTTTTTAATCCTTAGTGAACGGCAATGAATAAACAGAGCTTTTTACTTAGACACATGAATAAATAAGATATATTTTTTCATTTTAAATACAGTCTGATTCAAAACTCAGCACAAAGAATTTGGAGGCGTATTTTTGAGGTCAAAATAAGACTTTTTTCCTATAAACGTGGGTCCACAAATGCTTTGTTTTCGATATACAGGATGTTAAAGTTTATTTTTCTTTGGATTTTTTAGGGATACGTAATTTCAGAACAGATTTGAATGTTCGCATAAAACTTGGCATACGGTTTTTTTAGGATGCTAAATTTAAATATCCAATTGCTTTTGACACTGCTTGTAGACGGCGCCACCTATAAGGGTTCGCTTGAATTAAATTGGCCCTAACTTTTTTACTGCCCTGTCCATTGACGTTTCGTATTAGTACGTTCATTCCCCTATCAATATATAATCCAAGAAATGGATATACACATACGCCTCTACGTGATAATAGGGACGATATTTTCAAATTTTATTAACTATTTACGGTGACAAATTTTAAAATTTATATTGACTAGTCAATATCTCAGAAACGATTAGTCTGAGAGATTTCGGCCAAGTAAATCTTTTTGGCTTAAAATTGATAAGGGAATAAACGCACTAATACGAAACTTCAATGTACAGGGTAGTAAAAAAGTTAGGTCCAATTTCATTCAAGCGTACCCTTACAAGTGGCGCCCTCTATAAGCCGCGTCATAAGCAATGACATATTTAAATTTAGCATCCTAAAAAAAACCGTACACCAAGCTTTGTGCCAACAATCAAATCTGTTTGGAAATTATTCCTAAAAAATCGAACAAAATAAAAAACTTGAACAGCCTGTATATCGAAAACTAACGATTTGTGGACCCACGTTTATAGGACAAAAAGTCTTATTTTGGCCTCAAAAATATGCCTCTAAATTCTTTGTATTGAATTTTGAATCACCCTGTATTAACAAGTATTTATTTGTTAATAAAAACAAATGTATAAGGATAATAATTCTTTTTGAATTTTAGGTTATTACAATTTGGTATTTTTAATATTGTTAACGTATTCACTATGTTTTATAATTGAATATGAGTTTTTAGTATTAAGTTCAATTAATTATTCAGTTTGTAGTACGTATACGTGGCTTATTGCTTTTCAGAGAGTGGTACGGCACCTACCTATTTAAAATGACAGTATGGCTGAAAAAAGACTCACTCATCTGTCCATAGAACTTTGTTAATAAAATTGAGATCCGTTGCACTTTTATTTTGAAACCAATTGCAAAATTCAAGACGACTGGGAAAATTAGCTATTTCGCTTCAACGTTTGAACGCTCTATAGTCAGTCGGCACGTTCCCTGTTGCAAAGTAGAGCGCCGAATTAATGGGAGTTAAGAGGTAATTTTCTTATTTTTTTAAAAGATCGAGTACATAATAACTTTTTTTTCGATTTTTTTTTTATTGGACCTTCCGAATACGTGGTTAAAATTAATGACATTATGACCGAATCACCCTGTATATTGGTTCAAAGAGTAGACTTCCATTTAGTAATATAAAATATCACCTTTTACGGCCATTGCATGTACTCTAAAAGTATTAAATATTTCAAATTTTCATCAAACAAAGTTATATATACAGGTAAAAAGACAAGCTAAAGGTAAGTTAGTACATAGATATGTATTAAAATAAAAACTAAAACTTCCCTATCTAAGTACTAATGAACAAACACATACCTGTCATAATGAAATCATTAAATAATATTTTAAAGATATTATTAAGTTCTATTATTGTTCCTAGATATGATAGATTTCCTGCAGAATGTAATTAAAATTGGTACTTTTAGTGAATAAATATTATCATCGAAATTGGCCAATAAATTGGAAACATATCTACTGTTTCCGACTTATTGAAGATAGGTTTACCACAGTTTATTTACCACAAAAAATTGGTAAATATAAAAAAAGTTTTAGGAAGGAAATACTACGTTAATTATTAATTTTGTCGCTTTGTCAGTGTAGCCATGGGAACCCAACATTAATGAAGAAGCGATGTTTAAAATTAGCGGGGATTTTTCAGTATGCCGCTTTAGGTATTATGGAAATTAAAAATTCTGATGCGGGTAAAAATAACTTCGTCCAAGAATAAAACTGTAGCAGGAAAGTCTTGGCGTTCTTGATAATTTTTTACTGCTCGATAGTAAAAGTAAAGGATAATCTCAAACTAGAGCATGGACTTTTTGCTCCGCTACTCTTTTCTCAATGTGCACCGTACAATCCTTTTAGACGCATACCGTAGGTATTTGATAACATATAAAGACCTGCCGCAACCTCTGTTACGTGATCAATGATGTAACAGAGCAAGTGACCAGTATCACGTGCTGTTCGAACGAGAGTACAATCTGTTGCACTTGATGCATGGCGAAGTGGAAAACGACTCGTTCTGCACCCGTAGCATTTTGTTTACATTCAGCGTATGTTAATAGCATACCCACTGTAAACGGGCGTTTTTCGTAAAAGTGTGATTCTTTTGTTCCTTATAACTTAAGGTAACATAAAATTTAATAAATATGCAAGTTATTATAGAGTTATTACACAAAAATGAAATGCACTGAAATTTGTATATGCAAATATCTCGATAACCAAGGGAGATATCGAAAACGAACAAAGGGCACTTTGTTATGAAATGAAGGATGTTCTTTCAAATTTTCTAAAGGCAGAAATGTTTTCCCCTATTTATCAAAGAAATAGGACATAACTGACGCCCTATACAAGCAACGCCAAAATTAGTTGAACATTCCCATTTGTCATATTAAAAAACGTACGAGTAGTAGTGCCAATTTTTTTGTCCGTACACAAAATAATTGTCAAATTTCAAAATAAAATTCAAACGTTGAACGCCTTTGAAACCAGCAACATTTGCATAAGGCATGTTTGGCTCAATCGAGTTATTTTAGCCACCAGTAACTCCAGCTTCGAAATGTCGCAACCCTTCGCAGACACCCTGTATAGGTACCGTAATAATAAAGCTTTCTAACAAACATATTGAGAAAAAAAAATATTTATTACAAAAATCTGTGAATGTCTGTATACAACACATTCAAAGTGTTTCATTATTAATACAGTAAGTACGATATTTGTTGAGATAGAATTCCAAGAAGACCACTGCGTCAACTTCTTGGAATTAACCGCATTCGACATTCGAGGTAGAAAAGATATTGGCGGCGTGGCGTTCACCGTAGCAGCTTTCAGTGCATATTGTGTTTTTGCAGTTACGAAGGTGTGTTTCTTCGTAAATGTATCGTCCTGTGCATTTTCAGTGTAATTTCTTAAAAATAAAAGAAAGGAATTTGATTCCCAGTGTATAATTATTTTAAAACAATTTTTCCAAATGAAAATTTCAAGGCACGCCCCTGCGGTGGTAAATTGTTACAGTAGTTCCTATAACAGAACTTTATGGGCTTATTCTTTTCTTGGAATTCTATCTCAAAAAATATCGTATGAATTATTCACGATTTTATTTAATTTACAATTTTCGTTAAGACATATTAAATAATACTCATATTGATATAATTTTCTATTTTATCGTCACCCGAAATCTTAAAAGACACATTAGCTTTTGAAAATGTGATATTTTACTACTACTACTGTGCTGGACTGGATTACTTCATAATAATTGTTTATGTATTTTTACCAGAAATAAAATTAATGATGTTTTATATAACTGAAAACTCATTCTTCCAGAAGCCAGCAAACTGTCAGTGCAGTGGTTGATGAGTTAGTATATGTTCGCTAATATCTTTATATTTCCTTAAAAGATTATAGAAAAAAATAAATCAAATTATTTTACTCCTGTTTCTAAATAAGAAAATAAGAGCAACGCAAACTCTGGTGTTTAAATATCTGCTAATTTATACTCCATTGCATCCACACAATTACTACAATTTTGTCTAGAATGGGCTAGTACCAAAACACGTGAGACTTTTAGATGCGCAAATGGAAGAGTTAAGAAACAAATTTAAACAAATTTTTAAGGGAGAAATAGATGTACATACTGTTGAAACCAAAAACAACCAATAAAAAATTGTGATTATTATGATCGGTATTACTAAAAATTATTTCGCGAATTTGAAATTTAAACAAATAAAACCATAATACGGGAAATTGCAGTAATTTAGAAGAATTAGCGTAATAATCACAAAAAAATTAACCATGAAGATGAAATATCTCTTCATCTCACAACATACATAGGCGTAGTGAGAAGTTTTTCTCTTTTTACGTGAAATTATGAATACAACTAAAAACAATTAAAAGAAAAACAATCAGTCCGAGTGCTCCGTGCTCTATTTGACAACATGGCTGGACTTTAAATAAATCTGCGGTACTCCAACAATAAGTAAGTAAGTTACTTTTAACACGCGTGTCAAAAAAATGACATTTTTAACATCAAAAATGACAATTATAAAGCCCACTTTTAACAGTTTTGCAGAAAAATACTTTTTTCAGTAATTTCTAGGCAAGTTCTAATACGGTAAATTTTTAGAAATGCTTCTCAAATCAAAACTTATCTCCAATCAAAAATAAATTTTCTTTTAAAAGTAAAGGTCTTCAGTTCGGTAATATTAAAAATAAAATAAAACTTACTTTCGAGAGCAGTCTGTTGTTGTTGGTTCCTCGGCGACAACTTGTTCGCTGTAAGGACCTGGGTAACTTGAACCACATCTCTTTTTTTAGCAGGCCCTGGAACAAACAGAACTACTTAACGGATTGTAACATGTAATTGATACGGTACAGTTATGGACAAAAAAGAAGATTTCTCATCTAAATTTTTTTACAAAATTTGTAAAACATCTTTCATAATGGGTCGTAAGCTGTTTAGGTCAAAAAGTTTTTGCTACCCACAGCTGTATCCAGTTTGAACGTATTTGGCATTTATTTACTGTGGAATTTGCTACAAATTAAAAACAAATCAAAACCGCTCATACCTATTTGTAGCCGAGAGAAGAAAAATGAGAAAAGCTCTATTCACATTACATTACCTTTCTTTCCATAATTACTGAACCTCTCTCTTCTGTCTATTCTCTCTGAAGAAGACCGTCTAAGTTTATCCTTGGAGGGTTGCTGACCCATTTTCATTTGTTTTTATCACAATTCATTTTACAAGTACATTTATCGTGTCATGAAAGCTTTATTAGGGGAAGTAAAACCGCGAAACACGTTTTAACCGTTTTTGAAAAAACCATATTTATTATTGTCTCTTTTCGTATTTGACCCCTAATATAAAATACCCCCGTTTAAGGTATATTATTGGTTAATTCTGTAATAAAACATGTACTTTAATTTCACTATAATTTTAGGGATATCTCAAACGCTTCTACGTAGTTTTTTGCAGTGTTCTTGTATTTTAAAATACGTAAAAGGCGTACTTAATACATATTTTAGGAGGTAATTTCTTGAATAGTTTTAAGAGAAAAATTATTATGTAGCTGGTACCTAAATGGATTAGTTTTCAAGATACAAGGTGTTAAAATCTTTGTAAAAATATAAAATTTATTCAAAATCTCTGAAGTTGCTTTAGACCAGGCGGTATCTGTTTTGGCTTGGGTGAATCGTATATCCACGGAGATTTTTGGCTTTTTGGCTTTCAAATATCACTAGAAATGAAAATTTTTCTATGCGCATAAAAAAAAACGTGGGCTTAACATTTGACGGCACAATATGTTAAAAAAATTGGAAAAATGTCATATTTTTCTTCCTATTTAATTATGTATCTTTTTAAGAGTTGATTTTAGGCGAAAATGGAAGAGGAAACAAATGTTTGTAATTAAATTTTTTACAAAACATGACTAGTTACAAATCGAATGAATCATGATTATTATGGTAAAAATCGAAAAAATCACAAAAAT